TTCTGGTGTGGAAGGAGAAACCACAGGGTTATTTATTGCAAAAGGTGGTTTCTATTGTTTCCTGTTCCTTTTTTCTTTGTACATAGCTTTGTTTTGCCATTTTGAGAACATTTCATAAGAAAAATTTCATGTTCTTTTTTTCATGTAGAAAGGCCAGTAGGTAAGCTATAGCGAAGAAATGTTTATGCTATAGAATTTTGCCTGTTTTAACGATTCATTCTATTCTTGGTTCCTTCTTTCTCAAACCTTGAACGGTAGGATTGTGCCCTGTGATCTGCTGTATATTTAAAATATAGAGACTTGCTGTGTTAGTATAAAATTAGAAATCATAAAATAAGCTTATACAATTAACATTTTTGAGGTAAAACTTAAAAAGCAAGCCTACTGGCTTAGATAGAAGAGATATTTTCTATCTAAATCCTGAAATTCTTTTAATGTATGCTGAGGTTAGATAAAAGTTCAAAGTTTCCTACCTTAAAAATGATGGAATAAATAAATTAAATCTTTAAAAATGGCACTCCAATTTTGTCAAAGCATAGTCTTTTGTTTAGTATACCAATTCATAGATAATTTGTAATCCTTAGAATCTAGGAGTGTATCATTTGCATTTATGCTTTTTTTAAGTGGTGAGAGTCTGATGGCTTTGTTCCTTTTTTATTTCTTCCAAGAACTTATACCTTGTTGCTCCTTCTTAGCATTTTTAGTTATTTAATAAGAAAGATGGTAGTTCATTTTCTTAGTGATGAAGAAAAGTATGGTATTTTTAATTTTATTTTATTTTTGTACTGGAGATTGAACCTAGGGCCTTGTCACTGATCTACATTTCCTGGTCCTTTTAAAATAGTTTTTACCTTGAGACAGGGTCTCAATTGCCCAGGCTAGACTCGCACCTACTGTCCTCCTGCCTCCTCAACCTGCCAGAGTAGGGAGATTACAGGTGTGCTACCACGCTCGACTAAGGTTGTTGCTTTTTGAGTCTGTTGGTGGTTAAGTGTGAGTTTAATGATAAAGTTTACTTTTTCATGTCATTTTTTCACCTGTGTAATGTGTTTTCCATGGGAGGTATAAGGAAGGAGGTCTGGGCTGACCAGAAGTCTTATTACTGAGAAGACCTGATGGCTTGCTTAGGAGAGAACAGGAAGAGAATGGTGACTAAAATCTGGGTACCAGCACAGTGGGGTGAAGGCTCAGGGAGTTCCTTCAGATTCTTGTGAAGTGTCCTTCAACAGCAAGGAAGTTAACCTGGGGTGAGAGACTTGAAAAACTTACACTGCATTTTAGGATGCTGGTACAATAATTTTACGAGAAAATGTTCTCTTTTTTTCTTTTATTGCAAGAGAGGGATACAAATAAAAAAGACACCCTTTTGTAAGTACAAAATGAATTCATAATTCATAAATTGTAAAGCAGGTAAACACTTTAACCTTAGGAATGTTCATTCATTCATTTATCCTCTCACTGACACATAAAACAGCATGTCAGGCACTGTCTGAGATGCTAGAAAACCTAGCAGAACAAAACGTCAACTCTCTCAGGGCTTGGAATATATCAGAGCAAGAAGAGTTATAGATTAAAAAAAAGAAGATAGGGACTGGGAACTGTGGTTTGGGGTGGTGGGTAGGGAGTTGTATTCCTGAGAGCTCAGGGCAACAAGCTCTCTGATGAGACCTCTCTGATAAGAGATGTACAAGCAGTGTAGGCAGAAGCTCCTCAGATTCCTGGGGAAGAGAATCCCTGTGAGTGAGAACAGCAGTGCCCTTCATGTATAAGGAGGAATAAGGAAGCCAGTTTTGTTGAGTCATAGTGACTAGAGGTGATGGCGGTACAGGGGATGATAAACACAGACAGATCATGAAGGATCTTGCAGATTCTTGTAAGGAATTCTGCTTTGACTCAGAGGGAGAAGGCAAGCCATGATCAGAAGAGTGACACAATTTGCTTTTAAAAGGCCCACTCTGATGACTAATTGGGAGAATAATTTTCAAGGGGCCCGGATGGAAAAAAGAAGCTCAGTTAGGAGGCAATGGGAGCAAGCCAGGCAAAGGACAGGGAACCTTGGCCCAAGGCAATAGTGGTGGAAGTGTGAGAGGTGGTAGCCTCTGGATCTGTCTGAAGTTTGAATGAAAGATTCGCTAATGTACTGAGTGTCTAGTGTGAGCCGAAAGAGAGGGTGAAAGGATGACTACAGAATTTGAGATTGCATGTTACTGAGATAAGGAAAGGTGAGAGGAACAAATTGGGGCTGGTTTTAGTGAACAAAATCTGATGTGACTATGAAATACCTAAGAGGAAATGGGGACAAGTGTGGGCTTCAGGGGACAGGTTGGGCTGAAAATTGTAATTTGGGAGTTGTTAGTACGTAGGTGGCACATAAGGAAAGGGTAGTAATGAGAGGAACCGGACGTTCGGCAAGAGCAAAGAAGTAGCAGCTTGGGGTAGAATCAAAAATAGCTGTAGATTAAAGCTTTTAGCAGCAGGAGGGGAAGCAAAGTCCCTAGCAGCTGAGGAGAAGTGTTGAAGACCATCAAGGAAACTGGGTGACTTTGAGAAGGGAAGGCAATCAGGTCAGTTGGGGGCAGGAGGCAGACAATGACATGGCTTGATGCAGGCTCAGACCCAAAGATAATTTTTAAGATGTTTTAAAATGCAAAGCATATCCCTGTTTTGCTGTGCAGATATGGCTTGATAAGGGAAGGGGTATCTTTATGCATTTTGAATACAAAGCCTTTCGTGTTTCACATCTTCTGTTTCCTGACTGATTGCAAGTGTCTTAAGAGAAAATTCCATGCTTGAATTCATTTTTATGTTCTACATAAAGCTTAGAACAGAAAGCTTTGTATATGGTAGGGATTCAGTAAGCATAGTCTCCGCTGTATAAAGTAATGAGAACATTACTACCAAATCTCCAGAAATCTCCCAAAGGGGCTGGGACAGGAGCATCCCAGGGAGCATTAGCTGTGCTAGGCTTTCCTGATCTGCTTGGAAAATGTTCTCAGTGTGTCTTAGTTGTTTTGCTTTTGTCTTTGTTGTTGTTATTTCATTATTGCTATTTTTTTCTCTTTAAAATATTTTTAAAAAGTAAAAAAAAAGTGTGAGTCTCTTTTAAATATCAGTAATGGTGGGGCTCCCTTTTCGGATATGATCTCTATGAGGTTGTTTGGTAGCTTATTTAAAGTATTACAGGTTGTTTGGTAGCTTATTTAAAGTATTTGTCCCAGGAAAAAAGTTTTGCTGTATGTTATGCCAGAATTATTCAAAAAATACATGCTCAAACTGAGATCTCTAAGTAGGCTCTTGTAAAAACAGGCAATTACTTGCTCACGGCACCTAATTGCATGCACAGATGGGTACTCATGTTTGCAATTCCTCATTTGCACTTGTGATTACCAATTTGCAATAATTCATGAAATCTAGGGCAATTCTTAGGTACAAGGAAAGGTTGTAGGCATTTAAGAAACATCTTACTGCTCTAAGAGAAGAGCAGAGGGATTAGGGAATATTTTCCAAAGCTTGTGGTTGTTGCAATAAGAGGTTACCTGATGATCTTACTTAAGTTGTTTCCATTGCCTCTGTCAGCTTTAAAAAAGAAAAAAGAAAAAAACAGCATTTCAACATTTCTCATTTTATTTTGTTTTTCTTGTAGCTGTGTGTTAATGGCGGTCTCTGCCAAGCTGTTTCCAGCTTGATGCTATGCCTGGCTAGAAGAGCCTTTGTCTGAACAAAATGCACTCACGTTAAAATCCTTTGAAATAATTTGAAATCATAGGCCTGGGGGGAGAGCGGGTAGAAACAATCTCAAACGCCCCAGGGTTGTGGTAAAATGTCAAGGAGACCTGCTCTGAGAGGTAGTTATCGTGACAACCCAATAAATGAACATTAAGTTTAAGCGAAAAATGAACCAGATCCCTCTCCTCCTCAAAATAGGAACCATGCTTTTAAGGAATGTTTTTCAAAATAATTATGGAATCATTGTGAACCACCTGAAACAAATGCTTTGTGAGGAAAAATATACTATGCCAAGATATGTTAGTTTAAACTGAAAAAGGAATAAATTTATCAAACTTCATATCCTAAGGAAGCTGCAAATAACTTTTTTTCTAAATTTGCTCAGGGCACTTTACATGATTTATTATTTTGTTTTTGCGGGTGAACCCAGTGTTCACAACACTTGGGGGGGGGATGGGGAGTAACCCATCCTATGGAAGCAATTAAGTTGGTGGGACAAATGGTAGAAAGCTCCCAGACCTTCTGTGCCTCTCTGGCTTAAGAGTACTTCATAATGGAGGAAATTAAGAATAAGCTTGTGAGGTGATGGATGTGTTAATATCTTGATTTTGATCATTATTTCACAATATATATGTATATCAAAACATGCTATTGTATACTTTAAATATACGTTTTCTATTTGTTAATTACACTCAATTTAAAAAATAAGAAAAAAGAGTACTGCTTGGGGATGTGTGAGCTGAGGAGCTAGAGCAGCAGCCTGAGACCCTCTGGGCGTCTAGCCAGGATCTTGGACTGGAAGATAAGTTGTGGTAGTCCATTCCTGTGTATGTTCCTCCAGAACAGGGAGTCAAACTCATGGAGCTTTTTGTCAGTCAGGATAGACTAAGTAATGCTGTACTAACAAATTATCCCCTGGTCTCAAAAACCTAAAACAATAAAGGTTGACTTTTCTTGTGCTACATGTACACTGTCTATAAGAGCTGTATTCATTGAAGTCACTTTGGGACCTAAGTAGATGGAGCATTTACTTCCCCTCACTGGATCAGAGGTCTTACATTATCAACTGAATGCTCCATTTTGGAAGTGACTTGTTTCTGCTATACTCATTGACCATAATTAGTCACGTGGTTACATACAAACCTAAAGGGGCCAAAAAAGACAATCCTACCATGTGCCTGGAGATACTGAAGACTAGAAATATTTGGCATAATGTCTATCATAAGAGACTTTGATTTAAATGGATTCCATAGGTTGTTTTTCTTTGGTTTCAGGAGCTGTAGAACCATCACCTGTTGTAACCAGATTGGTGGCTATGAACTACCTGCTTTTGAGGTGATTTTTAAAATTTATCATATAATTTCCTAGTGGAATAACTGTGCCTGGGGTGTTGAATGCTACATAGTACACATTTTAAAAACTTAATTCCCATGAGAGTTAATAGATTTTTAATAATTTTAGGGCTACCTCCTAGGAATTTCTGTAGCATTTCAGAGGAGATCCATAAGTATCAATTGTGTATAAGATTATCAGAATTCTGAAGCTCCCCATTAAAACATTCAAAGTTATATGAACCCTGTGGAGGACTTTGTCTTTTTGGCAGGAGGCATCTTTTCATATTCTGTTCTAGTTTTGAGGCATTTGAGTACTTTATTTTGGAAGATGCAACAGATCAAGAATTGTGCTGAATAAAGAGTATTATTGAATTGCCTAATTTGTCAGCCAAACCAGCTCAGAAAGTAGATAGGAAGAGAAGGAGGGAGAGATTAGTGGTTTCTTGATTTCTACAAACTGTGTTCTATTTCCTCAATAACATGGATGGAAAACAGTGAATGAAAGAGTTCTGAGCTGATTCTAGTATTGATCTCTGATTTTTCTTTACAGAGCACATAGTGATAATACCTACCAGTAAGGATGAGGCAACATTCTCTATTTTAGTACATTATGATCCATTTCTTTTTATTCTTTGTAGTCAGATATAAAAGGCCTTCTTCTGGCTTATGATCTTTGTTACTAAATTTTAGTCTTTGCTGAAGTATTTCCTTAGGTCCATTTTGAATACTGGGTTTGTGTCCATTAATTTTTGTGGTAGCCTTTGCTCCCTTCCAATATGAACTGAGAATTATGAATCCTTTGGATATGCACTACTGCAAATTCCTATTTCTCAGTGTGAACTCTTTCTGTTACCTTCTTACCTGCATGTTCTTTTATATGTCCTGAGGCACCAATGTTTTTTCGTATCCCAGTGGTAATGCACGGTAGATATTTAGACCCTCTTTTCTGAGAAGAATCACTTCCTATTTAGGTTGGTTGAAATCTGGTTATTTACCTAGAGCGCTAATACTTTTCTGCTTGGAACTATAGGCAAACATTAATATCCCCCATAAGGTCTGTTCAAGGTAAAATTGTTTAATTGCCTATTGGCTGTTCCAGGTTGTATTATAAAAGCATTTTCAAATATATTATTCATTTGTATTTCTGCATCCTAGTAGCAATACTACATTGAAAGAATGTCAGGATTTCCCATTTCCAAAATCTGTGAAATCAGTCTCTTGAATTTAAAACACAACTTGTAAGCTTTGCTTGTGCTGAAAAGTAACCTTAAAGGCACAGTATATGAATAGGTGCTTAATAAATTCATATTTTTTTATGATGCTGGTGATTACATTAAAGAAAACCATCATTCATAAACCAGATTCCCATTTTCCATGGTGACCTGCAGTAATGAACACATGCCCTTTAGGAAATTGAGTCTATCTACATTCACAGAGAAAAGTCTCAGAATCATAGGCAGTGAGAATTGGAAAGGTCAGGAAATTTTCTTCAAGCTTATAAAGGTAAGAAACACTTTTTGTATGGAAAATATAATATGGAAATCTGTGCCGTAGACAGGTAAGAATCAACTTGTTGTGGCTGAAGTGTAGTGGGAGCAATAAAGTCCTAGAGACCTATTGAATGTCTGCATCTACATCACCAACTCTCATGGTGCACTACTTGAAAACCAGTAGTGCCTGATTTCTTTTCTGTAGAGAGAAACCTGAAGTTTAGAGAAGATTCATGACTTCCTCTGGGTCATGGCAGAGCCACTGCTACACCCTTGTCTTCTCATTTGCCTACTTGGGTCCTTTTCCATTGTACTATGTGGTTTCCTAGCAGAATGTTTTATGCACACAAGAAAGGAATGAAAAGTTTGTAATTTTAATATCAATACTTAGGGAACATGTGAAAAACAGTCCTCTGAATTCACTGAAGACTTTGTGCTGAGAAGTTCTCCCAGTCACAAATGAGAAGAAAGTGTGCTTCCCAAAGTCCCTGTGAGAATGAGAAAAGGGAGATCATTCTGTGCAGTCGTCCTTGCGACCTTGCAGCTCTCTCCAAAGCCATGGTTATGTTTTCCTTCTGATTGTGTGTGACCCAGTGTGAAATTGAACATAAATTTGTTGCAACACATCGGTGGAGCTTTCCAGCTCAGAAAAGGTTTGTCTCAGGTCTTGGGAGGAAAGGAAAAGAAAAATATAAAGCAAAACAGCTGACACCCCCACTGTTGCCATATTCAGAACATGAGCTCCGAGGCTGTTAATGCATTTTAACAGCTCCCAGAGTAGAGAAAAGTGTGTTGGATACGCACACAAATCAATAATTGGCTGCTGTGATTGAACTATGCACCAGAGAACTGTACTGTAATTATATTCATGCAAGGCATCAAGGACAAATCTCCTGGGTTTTGAGTAGGTGTGAGACAGGAAAAAATTACCAGCTCAGCCACAGAAGATTAAAAACAAAACAAAACAAAAGGACCCATAAAGCTTTTCTTTTGAAATGGTAGGTTTAATTACATAGTCTTCATCTAACAAATAACAGTTCTCAAGCTCTTGATAAAATCAGTGCATTAAAAAATATGTCTGGGGAAAACAATGCTATAAAACAATTTTATTCACATCTCGTTGATTTTCAATTGCTTTACCTATTCCTAGGGGGACTGAATTTTCCCCCTGCTTCTTGAAATGTATAAACTGTGAGCATTAGATTCTAATTTTTCATCTTTTCCCTTTTCCTTCATTATGATAATTTAAGGAACAATAAAGTCTGTGATTGTAAAATTGCAAATTGCAGCCTTGTCTTGAAGTACTAAAATTTCACATTGCCAGTTTCCCCAGGGAGGTTTTGAAGTCACCAGTTTATCTTTGGTTATGAGTTTTTCTTTAACCTTCCATATGGCACAACTCTGCTCTGCTTTCCTCCCATGGCTAAGGGACTCCCTACTGTGTGTCAGAGATGGCAGTGGAGTCTAGAAAAGCGTAGGTAGATAGGTACAGTCAGCTTCTGGGAGCTCACAATCTACTAACTGATTCAGGGGATAAGTAATCCTTCCTTTCTCAGTTAGGATTGTGTTTCTTATGCACAAATAGGATGTCTCCTCCCTTCTTCTCTGGCAGCTAGAGAATTCCCTATTTTTCCCTTGCTGTCATTGGAATTTTTCTGCCATTCTGCCATTCTCTCAGCCCCATCAGTGCACTCTTGAAGAACACCTAGGACCCTATGAAAGAATAGTGAACCTCACTTTGGTGTAGGCAGATTCCTCACTTATTCTGCTACACAAATTGAGAGATGGAACACACTCATGTGGATGCTGAGCGGCTTTTTTCTTTTTGTGGTACTGGGGAATGAACCTACGGTCTTCTCAACTGAGCTACTTCCCTAGCCCTTTTAAATTTTGAAACAGAGTCTTTCTAAGTCATTAAACTGGCCAAGCAGGGCTCCAGCTTGTGAACCTTCTGCCTTGGCTTCCCAGAGTGCTGAGAATATAAGCATGCACCAGCATTCCAGTTATGGATGCTGAATTTTAAGATGTGAAGCCAAGGGTGTTATGGGTTGGCTTTCTGAGATGTTTATGAAATCTGTTTTCAGGGGGAAGGAATTTAGCAGACAATTAAGGCAGACAATTTAGTTATATTGGTTTTTCTTTCTCAGAATTGGGTTTAGTTTTCATCAGCTTGTAAAGCAGAGGTCAAGTCCCTGCTGCATGTGGTTAGAAGCTGTTTTCTTTGGCCCACAGGGTCTGGTGATAGTGGTGGCTTTAAAAAAAAACTTAAGTTAATAGCCAACTTTTTGCATTTGAGTGATTTCACAGAAATCTAAACCCTGTCTTTTTCTGAAAAAAATCAGACCTGGTGACCCAGCATGGCAAAAGTCATCTGGCAATAGCTGGTAGTATAAGGACTGTGCTCTTTGAATTCTATGTCTGAGCCTTGTTGATTTGCATTAGGTGTGGCTGTCATCAAGGTGCGGTGGGCTGTCATCAAGGAGAAATTTCCTGGGGTTTGAGTAGTCACGAGATTGGAAAAAGTTACCAGCCCACCCAAAGGCCATTAGAAAAAAAGTACTAATAAAAGTTTAAGTACTAAATGGTGGGTTTAATTATACAGTCTTCACCTAACAAATAATGGCTCTCAAACTCATGATAAAATCATTGCATTAAAAAAGTGGGTCTAGGGGAAACAGTGCGGTTCTGTTCTAGTCAATTACTCAATGGGGAAATTAAGTTGACCCTGGAATCCACTTCTTCTGAGAAGTTTCACTAGTTCATAGCATATGTAGATCTGACCAACTGCTCTTACTTCTGCACAAAACTGGTGTGGTTTGTTCCAGCTAGCATGAAGCACCCAAAGTCATTGACAGGGATCATGTATAAGCCAATGCACTGTTCTCCTTCCCACCCAAATCCCCTTGGCTATAGTTGCTCTTCTGCTCTCACAGTCTGAAATATCCACTAGAAAAAGAGTACTAATGATATAGGGGAAAGAAACTCAACCTGCTAGATGTCTGGTATAAATTCATGTTCTCTGAAATTAAAGAATGAATTTTAGGAACAATGGAGGTTAAGAGCAGAATATATTTGTTGGGGGAAAGAAAGCTTCTGTCTGAGAAAGAGACAGAAAGGGACCTGAGCAGGTTACTGAGGACCCTGCCTTTTCTAAGGATTTTTATAGACCAAATCCATGTGAGGCAGGTCCAAGGTGGGGAAAAATGGGAAATCACATGGTGGGCATGAGGTGGGACAAAACTGTGGTCAACCAATAAGATTACAAGTATAATTGTTCAGGTAACATTGATTAAATCAGGATCAAATGAGGAGGCAATCAGTGGGCTGTTTGGGAGCCCAGAACTCCTGTCTCCACCTCCCACTGCCATCATAGGAATGAAGCTGAATCCCTGGAAACTAAGGAGATTTGGAAATGACAACAAGAAGAAGCAAAATGCAATCTCAGCCAAACACCCCTCCCAGAACAAGTCCAGGAAACATCAGCATGGAAGGACATGGAAGTCACATACCT